ACGGAACATTTGGAACATCAACGACACCAAACGGAACATTTGGAACACCAACGACACCAAACGGAACATTTGGAACATCAACGACACCAAACGGAACATTTGGAACATCAACGACACCAAACGGAACATTTGGAACACCAACAACACCAAACACAAACACAAACAGCGAAACATTTGGAACATCAACGCTTGCAAACAATTTAGTTTTTGAAAAAGCACTGATGACGTTAAAAAAACTGCGTACCAAACACAATACAGGTTAATGACATGACGTTCACATGGCAAAACAAAAATAAAACTTTGCCAAATAAAATCGCTCCAAATCTGGGGAACAAGTTTTGACGTAACAAAAGTGTCTATGGGAAATAAACCAGACACTCACAATGTAACTTTGAACCACATAATCATTATCAACTGACAGACATAACTTTGAACCACATAATCACGATCAACTGACAGACATTTAACTTTGAACCACATACTCACGATCAACTGACAGACATCTAATTTTGAAGCACATAATCATGATCAACTGACAGACACTAACTTTGAACCACATAATCACAAAAAGAAACCCCACACCACATAACTTTGAACCACATATTCATAATAATGTGAAAACACACCATATAACTTCGAACCACATAATTATAATAAGATAACTCACACCACATAACTTCCAACAACATAATCATAATAATTTACATCAGACAACAGTGATCCAATAATCATAATAATGTGAGAACACACCACATAACTTCGAACCACATAATCACGACAAAACAACTCACAGCCGCTGTCTAGTAAAGTGCAGAATCTATTGTCTTCAGTTCAAACAACACATAGATGTAGATCTAGGAGCAGGGGTTTGGAGCAACTCAAAACGGCCACAGAATAGAAGCTATAGACGGAGGAAACGAAACATTGGACATCGCTGGCCAAAGTCACTTCACACGGGTCTCTCTTGCTCCGTCTGTCTCACTCACTGTTTGTACAATCTGTGACACTTCACACACACAAACACACACACACACACACACAAACACTCACACACATATACACACACACGCACACACATACACACACACACACACACACACACACACGGTGTCACAGGTGACTGCCCCTATCTGTTTGCTCCACACAGCTACCTTGCCACCCCCATAGAAACAACAGTCAGTGTAATACAAACGCCCTTCAGCTTGGGATACGCACACTTAAGTGGGCCCAAACTTTGTTCCAATAGATAGAGTTTTTAGAAAAATTCAGGAAGATAAATATTTAATGTATACAAATACATGTATATGAATGTCGTCCTCCC